ACTCGACCACATATTAACAAACAGAAAGTGGTGCTTACTAGATGTTGGCGTGGTACCATCTTTTTGCGTGGTACTATGAGATATTCCACGGATATAAATCTGCGGCCCCCTTGTATACCAAGTGTGGTGCTATCAGGCCGGGAAACGATCTAGGTAGGGCGTTATAAAGGCTCAGAGATAATCCCATGTGTATGCGCGCACGAGTTACAACGGTATTGCACTGCAGAGGTTACACCATTCAGGGGACAACATGAAGGAAGTTAACAACTCGTCATGACCAATAGGGACAGTAAAAGACAATTACGAAAGGTTTTGGCTTGATGCAGTCAGCTCTTTGCGCAGTTACAACAAACGAGATCTCGTTCAATTACCCCTTCCATGTCATTTTTGCCGTGGTAATCTCGTACAACCTCTATTTTCAGTGAGGAACTTTATGTTTCATGAAATCGGTGAACTTTCTCGCTTCCTTCACCACAGATGAGCTAATCTCAACCCATGATTCCGCTTTTCAACTTAAAAATGGCATCTCGAAATTATCGTGAACTGTGCCTTCAAGTGTGCTAATAATTCGGCATGCAATGTACAAAAATTCATTAGAACGATTTCTCAATTGAGATTTTTCCAATTTCAGAGGTATGCTATTTGAAGAAATTAATCAACAAAACTGCCAACCTACAACTTAAGTGCGTCTTGTGCGACTACACGATCATAAATTTTCTAGTGGAATTTTTAGTGGATTTACAATTTACTGACTATCACCACATATGAACAGAAGTAATAATGGTGTCGATGTGTTCTTAGCAGCCTGCTCCTAGAGTAAGAGATCCGTGATTTTTTTTTGATGAGAGTGATGGATTCGTGCGGTAATAGCACTGAGCTGATTACCTTAAGCTCTGGTCAGAGCATAGACATATAACCCCGTACAATGCCACTCTACTATTGAGTTGCCAACTACTAGATGTTTTGTTTTTTTTCAAGTTTCTGAATGTGGGGAAACAAATTTTATGAAGCAAAACGAATGGGTGGAAATCCCTAACTGGGAGTCAGCGAGTCTGAAATACTCTATTTTTTATAGCACTATGGTCCACTACAACTGCTCTACCCCGTCTCCTCCATTGACTGGTTCAGCCCGTATATTGTATGTGGCATCTTGCTTTGCCACCATCACTGTCTCCATTGCGCTGCAAACGGTTTTTGCTCTGGTAAGAACCCTTAATTCGAGAAAAATGGATAAGAAATTTGTAAAGAAGTAGCACAATATGCTACTTGATATAAATGTGAATTTCTGTTTCCCAAAAAGATGCTAGGGCAAAGAGTGCCCTATCACACACACGTGATCAAATACTCGACCAATACCACCTGGGCATTCAGGTCTTTCATCACATCGGGATCCTTTATTCAGAAGGAGACCTGTGTAGGACAATAAAAGCACCGAATTGCGTACACCTCAATGGGCCACTGCAGGCCCAGCGTCTCTTCAAAATGTCTCTGCACTTGTGAATGAGACAGGATGCCTGATGAACGAAAGGGGGATAACGGCTGATGAATCTCTTCAGAGTTCGCTGAAAATTCGAGTGATACGCCTTCGAATGCCACTGCGAGCCTAAATGGAAATCAAATGATTGGGTTCATCCTAAAACGCCCAAGTCGAAATCATTATCCATTATTCTTTATGCGCTCGAGCAGGCCGAAGAATTCTTCATCGAACTCTGAAGGGATTTAGCAGCCCCTTTCTTCTGGGTAGGCCACGCATCCTAATCTCATTTGGATATGCAGACATATTTGAATGCGGATAAGTGCCATGAATTATTAGTTTGTGAGGGAAGCTCTTGCCTTTCCATATAAATTCAAGTTCTGGTGGCCGCCAAATTAGACCAGCTGACGCATTGTGCTCGTTGGGTAAATTGCTCTTTCCTTCAGAACTTTTTTCTCAAAATTCCGTGGAGATTTCAAACCTCCAAGACGTTTTCTTCCGAAATTGACAAGGCTGTTTTACGAACGGTTTCACTTAATGGGTTCAAGCTTGGTCGAGCTGCGAGGAAGGCAGCCACAAACATTGACGTGGCATGTGGAATGGATGCTGCATCGGAGCGAACGGTTCGTATTTGGTTTCAGAAGTTTAAAAATCGAGACGAGTAACTGTAGGGCCAAGAGCGAGTTGGTCGACCATTGTTGGTTGATCACGCTAAGAGCAGTCGGAGATGCTTCCGGCGTTGTTGATCACGTCAAGCAACTTGGGAAGGTGGAGAAACGTGACAAGTTTGTGCCACGCAAGCTCAGGGAGCAGCGGCAATTGATACGGCTGAGAATTTCGAGCTCTTCGGTGGGAACAAGTGATATCGAGCCATTCTTTCATCATGACAGTGATGATTATAGCGAGTTATGAAATATGGATGATATATAACAACAGAAAACGTTCTGCTCTGGGATTAGGTGTAGACAAGCCTTCAATTTCCCATGCCAACTTTACATGAAGAGAAGACGGCGATCATCAAACTACATATAACCGCATAGCCTTACTGTGATCAAATTCATGAGATGTATACGAAACTGGAGCGAATGCAGTGAAATGCTTTTGCACGACAATGCGCTACCGCATGTGTCACAAATCGTCTTCCAGAAGTTGAACGAGATGTGAACTCTCCTTCATTCACCTTACTCACCAGACCTTTCACCAACTGTCTTTCATTTATTCAAACACTTGGACAACTTCTTAGAGGATCGAGAATTCAAAAATCAGAGCGACGTGGAAGCTGCCTTCCTCGAATTCTTGAAATCCAGATCAACGGGCTTTCACAGGATCAGAATACAGATACTCGTACGCGTTGGTAAAGGTATGTAGAATCGATTGGGACTCTTTGAATAAAAAAGTTCACTTTAAAATGAGTCATGGTCATTTGAAAATTGGCTGTCAAAACGGCAAGAACTTCCCCTACAACATAATATCAAAGCATTCGATGAAGCCGCCTATAGTTGCTCCTTGCTGGTCACCCTCTTGAATTAATTTATCTTTTTCAGACATGCCAGAAAATAAAAGGCTGGAAGTCGAACTTTGCATTCTATCTTCTCCAGCTCATGGCAATATTCAGCGTTCTTAGCTACATCGGATCATTGGTGTATTACATTCATGGAATTATTCGCATCGATTCACCTGGACTCTCGAGGGTAATTCTTCTTGATCAACAGATTGTCTCGCTGAAAAACCAGTACCAATTGACCTCGATCATGCTTTTGTTTCCTGTGTAATGTGAGCAACCTTCAGTCACACACTGTGATTATCTTTCTTTTCCTTTTTCCACCCATGATTCATCTAGTGATAGGATTGCGGATAGATTTGCGATGCCTACCATCTTCATTCCTCATGCAGTTTCCCTTATTACCCATTAACTGCAATTACTGAAATTCCCCATCAGTTTGGCTTTGCACTGAGCAACGTTTCAATTTCAGGTAACGGGATCCAACTATCTCGGCAGCTGTTTCGCTTTCGTAATCGCCAATTTGTGTCTCAGTGTTCACCGCCTATTCTATACTCTGCTTCCGCTGAAATCACCCTTTATTCTTACGACGACAGTTGAAAGGGTAACCTATCAGATTTCCATCTTACTCTGTTTATAATTACCCCATCTCAAAGTGAAATTTGAGAGCTACCCTCAGAGAAAATTCATTGGAGTAAGAAGCCTCCAATATGTACTTGCTTGTTCATTTTACCTTCTCTCGTATCTTGATTCAAAGAAATATAAGTTGCCTCTCAGTATGAAGAGATGAAAGAGTGGGCATGTGAAATTTCTACCTTAGATTTGAGAACTGAAACCCTTCAAAAGCATTCCCGCATATCTGAGCTTGCTATGCAATTTTCATAATGCCAGGCAGAAATTTTATTTTCGTTTACTGAAACATGACGATATTATGATCGATTCTTATCTACAGATATGTATCGCTTCTATTATACTTTTCTACATCGTGTTCATAGCGACTACAATGTCGCCGTTGGCATCTGTGGAATTCTGCCCTGCTCACTTTTTCTTCCGTTATGATCGAACAACTTCATTGTGAGTATGAACTTAGAGCGATCCCTTTCTATATCCCTTATTAATTGTTTGTATCCCAGGATGAATCTACTAGTTAATAATATGATTGGTGTAGTGAATGTGACAACTTACACTATCATGTTTGCAACATTGTTTGTCAAAGGATCACTTACCTTCAGAAGGAACAGCGAGATACGCATGACTGCCCAGGTAAAAAGGGTCCTATTCAAATATCCGATCGTATTCTTTTGATATTACATTTTATTATTTGCTGGGTAACACATAACTCAAATAGACACGAGAATGGTGACTGCCAATCGTTCAGCTCTTTTGGCAGCCACCACGACCCACGCAACCTTATAATGAATTTCTGTTCAATGGGCACAACAATGAAACGTCAACCTACGTGTTTGACCTGAATTTTCAGTGACATGTCTGGAGCCTGCATATAGCATAAGAAGCTTAGGTGGACATTAAGAATGTGACTCAGCGTTAGTGTAGCTCCTAGTACTCAGGATTGCTCCCGGACGTCACTCCCACGTTCTTTGACACCGATTCTTCTGAATATTTGCTCGACTTGTAATAAAATATACGAAACAAATGTTCATCAATTTCATGGTTTTTTCCAGGCAGCATTAGTATCTGCATGCGAATTGGCCTTTTTTCTTTATTGGAGCTGTACACCGAAAGCTGAACTATCCTGGCGATATGCTCTGGACAGCTACACCGTGCTTATTTTCTACGACGTTCTTATCCTTCCTTATGTGATCTTCAATAGGTGGGTTTCGAATTTGCAGTCAAATATCTCATTTATATCTTACCTTTCGAAGAATGTTCGTGACTGTCTCCATAAGTTGTGAAAGAAGTCTGTGAGCAAAAAGCTATTAAAATAGTCACGAGGTAGCACTTTTCTCCTTACTCTTCTCCCTGGTATTAGTGCCGCACCGTCACACGTGCGCTGGTAGCACCATTCAACCGAAAAAAAACGCGTAACAGAATACTGAGAAGCTTATCTATCTATCCCCCTAACTATCTATCTATCTATCTATCTATCTATCTATCTATCTATCTATCCTTCCAAATTTAATAAAATTGTTTGCCAGTTGTCAATGTGATAATGTGATGATAACTCTTTTCAGGACCGTCAGAACAGAAATGAAGAACCTTTTTTGCAAACAAAAATCAAGAACATCGACTGTATCCTTCCTTGATCAGTCAAGAAGTATATTACGACAAAGACAAGGCGTATGAAGCCATTACTGAATAAGACTTAGATATAGAAGTCAGTAAGTACTTTTGACCAACTGCAGTAGCTGTCTGAGCTTGCATGTATTGACGCATTCCTGAATGGTGATTTGTTGAGCTTAATTATGGTGCAACACGTCAGGCTCTTCAATAAACCAACGAGGAGTGCCCCATGTGTGGGTATGGACCAGGCCCAATGTATCCTTCAATCTTGTAATATTCGGTAGTAATATGATAGATGTAATAAAACTGTCATAAAATACCTATATACGAGTGCGTACCGGAATGTCAGTGAAACCTATAAATGCGTTGTGTTTAGAAAATAACAAATTTATTTATTCATTTATTTGTTTATTGACTTACTTATTTATTTATCTATTTATGAGATTTAGAGGGCTATGCTCACATAAATATCATGAGAAGGTGTAATAAATAATTTTTCATTTTGAAGTCAACTACTTCTATACGTTACATAAATCGTTACAGTATATGAGGAACAAAAAGTGGGACCCGGCTACGTTAGCAAGTGCGTCAGCAAGCTGAACTATCCTGGCGATATAATCTGAACGGCTGCTTATTTACTACGACGTTCTTCCTTATGATCCAATATTGACTTACTTAGAACGTCGTAGTAAATAAGCAGCCGTTCAGATTTTATCGCCAGGATAGTTCAGCTTGCTGACGCACTTGCTGGCGTAGCCGGGTCCCACTTTTTGTTCCTCATATACTGTAACGATCCAATAAGTGGGTTTCGACTATTCTACAGTCAAATATATATCATCTATATCTTATCTTTCCAACAAACTTTATGCCTGTTTTCATGCATTTCCATGAACTGTGAAAGAAACACGCGAGTACGGATTCATTAAAGTCATTAAGCAGCACTTTTGTTTCTCACTCCTCTCCATAGCATTAATACCGCGCCAATATATATCCAACATAAAACCGAAATTCGAATATATCTATCTATCTGACAGTAAAAATCGTTTTCTTTTATTTACGAAAATCGGGATTGGAAGCAGGAAGTATGTCTTATCGGTAAAGAAATTTTGTTTCCACCCAAAGTGGAGGATCTTTAGTAATTAACTAGCTTAGCGTTCTTCTTAGAAACTATTCCCTTATGATATATGTTGTTGAACAGGCTCTACTTTATATTG